AAGTATAACAATCCGAGCTAGTTCCATTAGTTAGGTACAGGTTTGCGTAACTCACATCGCCGATCAACAAAACAAGATCGGGAGAGTTACGAGCCAAATGAGTAATCGTATCAGTTGTGTTATATGTCAGACCAAGATCGCCCACAACGGCTATTCTGTTAGGATAGCTTCGTGGTCCAGAAACTGGCATTGTCCTGAAGTAGTGAATCTTACTCATAGCCCGTATAGAAGGGTCACCGCAGCGATAGTAATACACTGTACTCGGTTTCAATCCTGCGTAAAACATCCCCTGAGGGATCTGTGTATAAGTTCAGTTTCTGTCAAGTTTAGGACAATATCCAAAAGCAAGAAGGAAATAGATGAACCGAACCTGTGAGCCGAACATGATGTATGATTCCAGAAGTATAATTCAGGAGACCTTCGAAAGGATAAAGCTGGTTATAGACAAGAGAATATCCCCTGGCTTCATGAATTAGTGAATGCTTTGAAGTCCCGTAATGAACAACGCTCCCAACACTTGTTGGGTCTAATGGCTTCACGTTTTTGCCAATTTGGAACTCACCTGAAGAAACGCAGAATCAATTCAACATCGGTTATTGGCATATATGATGTAATTGGAAAGAATCAGATGTTTTGGATCGATGCTTGTCTTCATTTGAAAGCAAGACATTGAAATTGCAAACGTAACGGGAAAGAACGAATCTTCCTGTTCTTACAGAACTGTGAACAGGCGTTAGCATTTATTTCATGTCTGAATTCCTAAAACACAAGGACCACAAACATAATTATTGCAAGCATAACACGCGTGATCGATCTGATTGACGATTAATCACGCAATTTAGCGACTAAAAACGAGAAGTTTCGGAGAAGATAAACATCGACAAACACTTGATTAAAGAAACAGCACGCGAAATTGAACCTGTGATCCAAGAGACCCAGATGGAATCGTGATCGTCTGAGAGAGAGAGAGAAATCTGCTCGGGCTCAAACCCCGCGACGCGGCGGCGGACTCGGGGATCGGAATCCGGCAAATCGACGGCGTTTCCTCGGAGACTGGTGTCGAACGGAGCCGTCACCGGCTCGAACGGCCCGTCCAAAGTCGACGGAATATGTTCTCCGGCGGCGGAGGGGGTTGTGAGGGAAACGCACCGGAGCGTTAGAGCGAGCAAGCAGGACCAGCGAAACGACATCGTATTCGACGTGGCGGAGGTTATCAATATTCACGAGGTTAGTGGGCAGCGCAGAAGCATTAAATGCCGGAAGCTATGTGCGCGCGTTTTTGCGTCGCCGAGGACTAAAATATAATTTCCGTTGGACTTTTAAGTTTTAAAAAATCATTGTCATTAGGTCTTATGTTTAATTCGATTCAATATTGATTCGGTTATCCAGTTATTAATCAAATAAATGACCTATAATTATTACTATTATAATTGTTATTTCATGGATTTCATACAGAAATAAAATTAAATATATTCATTCGTTTCTCGAAAACAGAAAAGTTGGAGGTAAAAAACAAATATTCCCATCTGTGACAGGATTGAGAGATGGGAACTAGATTATGTTTATGTTATATATATATATATATATATATATATATATATTATAATGATACATATTTTTAAACGAACAACCAAAGGTGTGGGAGGCCCCACGGGCTCACATTTTAAGAATCAGCCGTAACATGTGGTTTCGTTTCGAGTTTCGATTCAGTGTTTTGTCCGATTTGGAAACAGTTTATTTGGTTTTATAATCATTGTATCGAAAAAGAATCGACTCTTAATTATTTCATTTTGGACCAACTGAAACGGGTATGAGGTGGGATGCGTGACATTGGAGAAGATTCAAGTTGGAATTTTACACAACGTATTCGACAATTTCAAATTTAGCTATGGATTTGAAAAAAGAAAATTAGTTCCAAGAAACGATTCGAGAAGGCGATCTCACAGTTTCGCTTCTGTCTTCACCTTGTAACGTCCTCTTCGGACACAAGTACGCCTTTTCTTCGGGCCATGAACAGACATAACCCAGTTGCAGGTTTCATTTCCAGATTAGATCATACGTTGTACGGAATCAAACTCTTATACAAACAAACCCTATTCCACATCACTACAACAACACCGTAGAACACTTGGTTTCCCTGTCAATCCAAAAAAAAAAAAATGATTCATTTTCTGCAGAAAATTATCATCAGAGGGGAAGCTACTTAATCTCCTTGGACTTACTACGGTTTCAGCCTATTGTCCGCATGATCGTGATGCTTCCCTTTCCTCCTTCGGTTCGGATTCTGGTCTTTCCGACAACGGGTTTCCCCGAGAATGCAGAGGTTTGATGATACACTGGAGGAGGGTCTGCTCCTTCTCCTTGCTTTGGTTTTGCTGGTGGAGTTCGGATTCTTTGGTTTATGTCCTTTAGTGTAGTGTCACCATGTGCTCCACATGGTTTGATGATTGCAAACGGATATGCAATCGATGATGGTAGCTTCGATGCCGGTCTTGTAAAAGATTTCCTTCCTATGAAACCGATAAGAGATCGATTGGTTTTGTTTGTTTAAAGTCGGGAGAAGCTAAAAGTCGGATGTGAATACCTTTAAAGACGATGCTTGGAGAAGATCGAGTAACCCGTTGCAGAACTTCGATGGCCTCTGCCTCTGGAGGGATGCTCAAGTATTCTGCACGAAAAAACACGGTCTCTTGGCAAGAGATAACAAGAAGGAAGCAAGAAAAGGGGTGAGGGAATGAAGAAACATTACCCGAAACATCAATTTGACGGTCAGATAAACCGGTGAAGTTCCTGGCATGTGAACATTAAGAAGAAACTGCTTATGCTACAGTACCGGAAACTAAACTGAAAAGT